CAGAGCTCTCTCAGCCGGGCCCCACCTGCCTCACAGGGTGTCTGTTGTGGGGAGGGGAAGGGAAAGGAGATTGGAAGCCGCTCTGAGACTCCTTTGGGTAGTGAAGGGCGGGGTATAAATCCAATCTCCTCTTCCTCTTCCTCTTCCTCTTCCTCTTCCTCTTCCTCTTCTTCTTCTTCTTCTTCTTCTTGCAATAGCCAAATCGCTCGCTCACAACATTAATGCCAGGAGCTCACAAAGTGGAATTTTTGCTCACGAGACTCCACAGCTTAGAGGGAGCCTTGGTTGTAACAGGGGGAGATCTCCAGTCTCTGCCTGGAGGTTAGCAACCCTAGCTACAATGCTGATTTTTCTCACTGACCAGTTTGAGCGGGGGAGTTGATGTCACGTTGTTTTCTGCTTCGTTAACTGCCTCGAGTGGTTTCCCCGTCGCCACTGAAATGGCATTCATGCCCTCGTGGTTTGGGCCTAATAATTGTACAGTCCAGACGGAGAAAATGTTGCAAGAGCGTTTGCAGTCCGAGACCACCTTGTTCCAGATGCCTTGTTTTTTTGGGGTGGGGGGAGAAAGGTGCAAAAAAACCCTTAAAGCAAGGTCATTTCAGAGGATAGCTGTGTTGGTGTGGGGTAGAAGAGACGGATTCGAGTCCCGCAGCACCTTAGCAACCAACAGTCTTTCGGGGATATAGAGTTTCCAGGGATGAAGCTCCTTTGACTCGCACAGGTTTATACCTCAAAAACTTTGTTGGTCTCCAGGCAAACCCGATCTCACCAGATCTCAGAAGATCTCCAGAGAATACCAGGGCCACTTCTCAGAATGTCCTCCGTGCCCGAGTTGGAGTTGTGGCCAGAAGTCGCCATGGCCTCCAGGCACGGGCACACACACAAAATGCCGGCCACATGACCACGGACAGCGCTGGCTCTTTGGCTTTGAAACGGAGATGAGCACCGCAACCCTAGAGTCAGACTCGACTGGCTTTCGAGCAAGGGAACCTTTACCTTTACCTTTACTAAGCTTTCAGAGTATTAGATGCGGGTGTGGAGGGGGAGGTCTTTGTGAGTTTCCTGCATTGTGCAGGGGGTTGGACTCGATGACCCTGGAGATCCCTTCCAACTCTATGATTCTGTGATTCTATGACCCCGGTCACACGGGCCAGATAACGCGGGGCAGAGGCGTGGCTGTTTGCCCCGGAGCAAAATAAAGCGCGGTAGCCCGATCACACGGTCCCCCGTGTCTCTGTGCTTAGCGATCACACGGTCCCCCGAGTCTCTGTGCTTAGGCTGTTAGCTGGCAATCATACGGCAATGCTACAGCGTGGCAAAGAAGCGGCGCAGCGCGATCACACAAGCGTTTCGCATTTGTGCACATGTGCAGTTCCGCAGAGCAGCACTGCTTTCAGTTTCGTGTTTGTGCGCATGTGCTTACAAAAAACATCCGGTTTACGACGGGACATGGATGCCACAGGATACTAGCGCTCCCACGATCAGACGCCCACCCGTGCAGCGCGTTTTCCGGATACTAGTGCACTTTCCTTGGTACTTTTTAACTCCGCATCTTTGGCGGGACGCCACGGGTTGGCCACGGGTACACTATGCTTCCCAGATGTTGCGGTGTGATTGTGCCCCGAAAATCCGCCTGACATCCGTGCCTTTCGCGTGGCAAATTCTCCGCGTGACCAGGGCCTATGAGAGTCAAAGGGAGCTTCATCAGGTACCAGCGCAAGAGAGTGTGTGCGTGAGAAAGAGGAAGCGGGTGTGTGAATCTTAATTGCAAACCAGCATCACACACCTCCGTGTTGTTTTCTTGGGTTTCTGAGCTGTGTTTTTCAAGTGTACCGGCCTGTGGTTTGTGTGTGTCTCTGTGTTTAAATAAAACTATTGTTGTTTAAGTCATTCCCTCCCCCCTTTCCCAGCTACGGCCTATACTCCTGGACCTTTTTTAGCCATGGCCATTTGCAAAATGAATAGATCTTTTGAGGCTGAGAAAGGAGGCGGTAGTGAAAAGAAACGTTCCAAACTAAATTTTGCAGAGGCTGCGGCCTGTCCCGGGACTCGGGAACTACCCGGTGGCGAAAAGCAATGCTGTCAGATAAACTGGGAGAGGCTGTCCTATTGGCGACCTTGATTTCTGCTGTCCTCCTGGCTGCTAGTCCGCTCCCTTTTTCAGATGGCTCTGCTTACTTGTGCAGGCTCTTCAATCCTTTTTTTTTTTAATTATTATTTTAAATAACTTGTTTTCTCTAGCGTAAGCCACCTTGAGTCCCTCTGTCGGAGCGAATCAGAGGATGCGTCTCCCTGAACAAACCGAAGCCTTTAAAAATAGCGTTAAATCAACAAAATCTAGCAAATCTTCCTGTAAATCATTTCCTAGCAGCTGTGGAGTGAGACCCGCTCCCCCGCTCCTGCTCAGAAACCAGTGGAAGAAAACCGGAGTCTCTCGTTTTTCTCTTTCCCACAGGAGGCCCGACTCTTCTCCTGGGCAGCCACCGAGCCTGGAATGGGTAATGGACGGGTGGCGGAAGTGGGTTTGACGCGGGCAGAGGCCGAGCCCAGCCTCCACGGACACGCTTTGCCGGAGGTGAGTGCGGTGGATCCGTGGGGGGGGGGGCAGAGGGGCTTCCTCGGTGGGATGGACCAAGCTGCCCGGTTGGCTCAGTGGTCTGCGACCAGCTATGGTCTTGCCAAAAAGCAAATTTGGCGTAGCGGTTAGGAGTGCGGACGCTGATCTGGGAGAACTGGGTTTGATTCCCCACTCCTCCACATGCAGCTGCTGGTGCGACCTTGGGTCATTCACAAGTTCTTTCAGAGCTGTTCTCTCAAAGGCAGTCCTCAAAAGAGCTCTCTCAGCCCCACCGACCTCCCAGGGTGTCTGTTGTGGGGAGGGGAAGGGAAAGGAGCTTGTAAGCCGCTCTGAGACTCCTTTGGGTAGTGAAGGGCGGGGTATAAATCCAGTCTCTTCTTCAAATTAAAAGCTTCTGCCCAAGCCACACAAAAAGGAGGACTCTAATCCAGGGGTCCCCAACCTTTTTGAGCCTGTGAGCACCTTTGGGGTTCTGACGCAGGGTGGCGGGCGCAACTACAAAATGACTACCCCGGGAGGTGGAGCCAGCCGCTCAGAAAAAGCTCAAGTCTAGGAGAGAAGAGGGGTAATTAAAAAAAATGAAACACTGGGAAAAGGGAGTGAGATCATCATAAAAAAGTGGAGAGAGAAAACGGCCCCACGCTACAAATCTGGCAGAAGAAAACATGGGAGCCCCTTATACTCAGCAGAATCATGGGTCAGACGGTTATACCTAAGTTAGAAAACTTATCGAAAAACATCAGTGTTCCCTCTGAGCTGAGTTAGTGTGAGCTAGCTCAGAGGTTTTTAGCCTCTGGCTCACCCATTTTTGTCTTTGCTCGGGAAGGAGGGCAGACTTAATTCATGCAGCAGCCAAATCGCCGGCTCACAGCTTTCATGCCAGCAGCTCACAAAGTAGAATTTTTGCTCACAAGACTCCACGGCTTAGAGGGAGCATTGATTCCAAGCGTTTTGGTTTCCTGTAGCAGAATATCTAGTGGGAAAGGAAATTATTCCGACGCATCCGTATTACCGAGAACTGTTATGTTTTTGATTGTTGCGTTCTTAATCCGAATTTGAATTTGAATTTATAGGATTATTCGTTTTCGATATTAGGGTGTGATTTGAACTGTTTGTATATGTATGTTGTTTGTATAAAAGAAGTAAATAAAGAATTAAAAAGGAAAGAACAGAAAGAGGAGTGAGAGAGGATAAAACCAACAGTGTTGGGGGCAGCTGCCTCTGAAACAACGTTATTTTAATCTGCACAGCCAGCCAATTGGTTCTCCAGTGGCCAATCAGAAGCCCTGCTGGGCAAGAGCCCCGTCTAGCCCTGCCCACAGTTGGCAAGCACCAGGAACGAAGCTGGCAAGAGTGCATGGTGCCCACGGGCGCCACGTTGGGGAGCCCAGCTCTGTTCATTGGCTAGGCGAAGCCACGTGAACTACCTTGCGGGGTGCCTCTTATTTTGTCAAGCCTGCTCTGTGTGATTCTTTCTGCTTCGCACAATTGAGTTAGGAAGCATGCCAGAAACTGGCTTATACTGAATCGGTCCCCAGTCCCTCTACCTCAGGATTGTCTGAGGGGGAGGAGGGAGCCGCCTGGCATGCCAAAGGTCCCAGGTTCAATCCCCAGTGTCTCCAGTTAAAGATTCCCAGGCAGTGGGTGATGAGAAAGACCTCTGCCCGAGACCAGTGCTCCCTCTAAGCCAGTGATGGCGAACCTTTTAGAGACCGAGTGTCCAAACTGCGACCCAAAACCCACTTATTTATCGCAAAGTGCCAACACGGCAATTTAACCTGAATACTGAGGTTTTACTTTAGAAAAAACAACTCATACATTAACTTAAGATGATCCAAACAAAGTAAGGAAAGTAATCCCAAATGCTTTCATTTACTTAAAATTATTTGGCAGAGAATTTGACACTTTAATGATGGTCTGGGCCTGGCTAGGGCTATGGCACGCGTGCCCACAGAGAGGGCTCTTAGTGCCACCTCTGGCACCCGTGCCATAGGTTCGCCACCACTGCTCTAAGCTGTGAGTCCTGTGAGCAAGAATTCTACTTTGTAAACTGGCATTAAACTACTGGCATTAAAGTTGTGAGCGAGCGATTTGGCTGCTGCATCAATCGGTTTGCTCTGGAGCCCTCCTTCCTGAGCGAAGACGAAAACGTGTGAGCCGGAGGCTAAAAAGTTGTGAGCCTACCTCACGGTAGCTCAAGCCAGATATAATAAAGCCACACAAAGAGAATGTGCTTGTGGAAAGGGAGAAGAAACTCTGGAACGTGTGTTTCTCGACTGTAGATTATACCAGCACAATAGAGAGATATTTATAGATCCCATCATAAACACATATCCAGGGTGTGGTAGGGGGGACTCTCCTCTCAATTATGTCGACAGATAAAAATCCAAATATAACTCGTATGGGTGGCTAAATTTGGTTGGTTAGCCTATTGTATTAGGCGGAAGTGGAGGGACTATAATTAACGGGTTGGATGTGATGTTATCTGAATTGTATTGGAGTTTGTAAGTATTTTAACTTTTTAGGGTTTTATAACATACACTGCCACAAGATATATTATTTTATTCTGATAGCTGTTATATTAACCCTATTCGCTGTATTATGGACTTTGACCACAATAAGATAAATATGGACAAACACGACCCAATCAGAAAATAAGTATAAAGACAACAGTCGTGAGAGTCTGACCCACAAATCAAGCAGTCACCAAGACTTGCAAAGAAAAGGCTTCCTATGTATTATAATCTAAAGCACTACAACACCATTAATAAATCATAAGAAAATCCTTGTGCATTGGTACATAATCAACGTCGTCTCAGGATTATATCCATTCAATAATGGATCTTCCTCAGGAGATATTCTGTAGTGTACAAAAATACAATTCTTTAGCGTATATACTATGTAAACAATAGAAAACAGTATAAAATCCTGGTACAGTCTGACTTACAGAGTAGTACAAAAGCTCTCTGTATTCATGAAGTGCTTGACAGCAAGTCATAAGGAATCAGTAATATAATAATGTTCCTCTTGTTATGAAAAAATATAAGGTATTTTAAGGTACAGAGTATTTTAAAAATTAAGCCAATCTAGTAGTAAGTAGTAACTAAAGGTCGGTAGTTCAGCAGTTCGAGACCCGGGTGCCGCATGACGGAGTGAGCTCCCGTCTCTAGTTCCAGTTCCTGCCAACCTAGCAGTTCGAAAGCAAGAAATTGCAAGTAGATAAATAGGTACCCTCAGATGGCCGTGGCCCCGCCCCCAGCGTGCCCGGCGTGGTCGCGTCACTTCCAGGTGACGCGCACGTCGGGGAGGAGTTCTCCCCGGGGCCCGATCCGGCGGCGGCGGGGAACGGGCCTCTGGGGCAGGGGTTTCCCCGCCCCCCGGGAGGACTTGGGAAGCCTACCTTAAATAGAACACATTAGTTTGGCTCAAAGGTTTCTGCAGTGTATATTTATTTGTTACTAGACTCTCCTAATACTGCAGCTCGGGTTGCTTCAGCCTCCAGGTGGGGCCTGGGGACCCCCCTGGAATTGCAGCTCAGTTCCCCTGGAGAAAACGGATGCCTTGGAGGGTGGACTCTGTGGCCTTGTACCCCACTGAGGGTCCCCGTCCTCCCCAGGCTCCACCCCCCAAATCTCTCCAAATAACCCGGATCTGGCAACCCGACCTCCCCTTCCCCTGCTAGTGGCTAGAGAGGACCCGACGACCCTATTTCAGAATGAGTGGAATGCTTTTAAAGACCAGGTGGGCATGCTGTGTAGACGTATACAGCTCTTAAATACAAGACGCATGCCTGCACCTTGAAACGTCCCTTCATGAGCAAATCCATCCACAGGGTAACAGACCAGTCTGCAGGCTAACTGATCATCGTTCCTGGAAGATCCTAAATCTTTGCTAAATCCTTAAAGGTGAAGTCAAATTCTCTGACAGAAGGCTCGATGAAATTACAGTGAGCCTCAGCTCTTAACGTGGCCCTCCTTCTGTTGTGATCAAAGGCCTCCTCTTCTCCAGTACTCTGGAAACCACATCCAGTTTGTTGCAGTGGTTAGGAGCATGGACTCTAATCTGTGAGAACCGGGTTTGAGTCCCCACTCCTCCACCTGCAGCTGCTGGGTGACCTTGGGCCAGTCACAAGTTCTCCCAGAGCTGTTCTCTCAAGAGCAGTCCGCGAAAGAGCTCTCTCAGCCCCGCCTACCTCACAGGGTATTTATTGTGCGGCGAGGAAGGGAAAGGAGATTGTAAGCCACTCTGAGACTCTGAGCGAAGGGCAGGGTATAAATCCAACTCTTTTATTTCTTCTTCTACTCTGAGCGAAGGGCAGGGTATAAATCCAACTCTTCTATTTCTTCTTCTTCTACTATATGGCTTCAAATCCCCAAAGGTGACACCCTTCAGATAAGCCCATACAGGTCACTAGCCCCACTCCACCTTTGTAAAATGTAGTCTAGTCTGGGGGAACCATGCTTTCTGATGTGGTCTATAATCATGGCCTGGGAGAAGTCTGCTCTCCTCTGTCTGACAAAACTTCTCCTTGCCTGATCGCCTGGAGCCAGTTCGTTGTTCTCCACAGGCGAGCAGGGAGGAAGAGACTGCAGGATTATTATTATTGTTATTTTAATGGTCTCTGTTGTCTCTTTTCTAACATGTGGCAATCACTTCTTCCAGGACAAGAGGAATATGCTCAACTCCCTGATGTCGGGGGCGCTTGCTGGCGCCGTGGCCAAAACGGCTGTGGCTCCCTTAGACAGGACGAAAATCATATTCCAAGGTAATCCGGGGCGGTGAGGGTGGAGAACCCTTGTCTTTCTCTGTCTCAGAATCGGACCCTCGCCCAGGTCTTTGGGTCAGATTCCTTGTAACTGTGCCTTTCTGATGTATATATCTATGCTTGGCTACATCCTGTTAATGCTTCACCAGCTGGTTTCCTCCCCGCTTCCGGTTCCCATGTAGCACCTGCTGGCATTGTATCAATCTATCTGCAAGGGCTTCCTCTGACATTCTTGAAGGGGGGCGATTGAGACATGTCTGTGTGGACTGTAGATTAGCCGCGCTTTGTAACACACTGAGTAAGAGATCACCCCCACCCCCACATAAGGCCAGAGAGAACTTTCGCTTTTCCTGCTTCTCATGGCCTTGGTCCGTCCCCTTGGGTGGGCTGTCTGTAGCACCGCCCCCCTTTTTCATTTGGCTTCTCGTTTGCACTACCCCCCCAACTCCTCAGCAATGCTCCCTCTAAGCTGCGGAGTCTTGTGAGCAAAAATTCTACTTTGTGAGCTACCGACATTAAAGTTGTGAGCCAGCGCTTTGGCTGCTGCATAAATTAGTTGGCTCCGGAGCCCTCCTTCCTGGGCTGAGACAAAAATGTGTGAGCCGGAGAATAAAAAACTGTGAGCTAGCTCACACGAACTCCGTTTAGAGGGAACATTGCTCCTCAGGAATAAATACTGTGTCTGTGACTTCCTCCCTCCGGCTATTATGCTGGGGAAGCCGGGATAAAGCATCAGCCAAGAAATTATTTTTCCCGGGGAGGTACTTAATAGTGAACTGGAACCTGGAAAAGAATTCAGCCCACCTAACTTGCTTAGCACTCAGTTTCCGTGCCGCGTGCGGAGAGTCTGTTGATGATCTGCACGTTCTAAGCCCCTCCCCGGCAAGTTCTGCGCTAAGGGAGGACAGATGAAGCGTCAACTGCTTTCTACTGCTTGTGGAGGGTGACAAAGAGCTTTGTAGAATGCTGATTCGCTGCCCTCTGGAAACCATAGGGGCAAGGCACTTGGGTACTTGCAATTGAAAGCGGAGGCTCTCCGACTGCCGGACCCCATACCTTAATCCTGTTGTAAAAATAGTCAAAAGTATTTAAATTACTCAGGGTATCAATGGATCTTGCTCTATTGGAAAGAAGAGATTTCTTTGCTTTTAAAAACCTTTATTTCTAAGGGTAAAAGGTATACTGGGAACCTACAAAACAACAGAACATCTAACAGCTACATTTTCTACTGCTTACTTCTCAAAACATAGTAAAGGTAAAGGTTCCCTTGCTCGAAAGCCAGTCGAATCCGACTCTAGGGTTGCGGTACTCATCTCCGTTTCAAAGCCAAAGAGCCAGCGCCGTCCGAAGACATTTCCATGGTCATGTGGCCGGCATGACTAAACACCAAGGTGCGCGGAATGCTGTTACCTTCCCACTGAAGGGGTACCTATTTATCTACTTGCAATTTCTTGCTTTCGAACTGCTAGGTTGGCAGGAGCTGGAACTAGAGACGGGAGCTCACTCCGTCATGCGGCACACTCGGGTCTTGAACTGCTGAACTACCGACTTTCCACAGCCTGCAGTTCAGCATCTTAACCACTTGAGCCACCGCAGCTCCTCTCAAAACATAGTCACACACTAACACACAGATAATGGAGAATCTGTCCTTCTTCTCGTCCCCTAGAAAGGAAGTCACCTGAAAACAAACAACCAATCTGTATCACAATAGAACCTACTTTTCCCGGGCTAATTCCCCATTGGCTCAGTGCCAGGTATCCCTTCCAGGTCAGTCTAAACAATAGCAATACTAGGTGAACAAGTTAACCCTATAATGACTGGATTGTCAGACCTTGCCTGCCCCCGGAATTGCTGCTACAGTGTGCAAAACGAGGTTGAGAGGGCCCGCCCGATATCTTTCTTTGCCATATTCAATTCCAAGTGTTGGTTTTGACTTTGAGGACTTGCTTGGTCTAGGATTGGGGGGAATCTGCATCCTCTGTGGGCTTTCCTTAAGCTCTTTGTTACAGGCAGCGCTTTCCCCAAAGCGCGTGGCCACCTCTGTGGTGGCACCTCTGCTACACACTGCCCTCCCACTTTTCCTTGCCTGGTGAAAAACCCGGTAACCTTTCGGCACCGTGCCATAAACATTTGTATTTTTAAACGGTGCCTTGCATTTTAAAATGTTGCCCTCTTTTTCAAATGGGGGCTTTTAATTCCTCCTGTATACTAATTAGATCCCTGCTTTGCTGCTAGTTTGTCTTGGAGCTTATAGCAGTGTAATAGTTTGAGGCAGTGGTTTGTAGCCCTTCTTTGCTGCTAGTTTGTTTTGGAGCACATGCCTGTGTTTGGCTCTTTGTAGAGTTTGATGCAGCTGATATGTTTTTAGGCTGGGGTGGCTTGGGAAGTTCTTTTGCTGGCTCAAGCGGCTGCTTGTGTTACCCTGTGGATTTGTTGTGCTGTGCGTTGTGTTGTTCAGAAGCCCTCTGCAGCCAGATTTGCTTGGAGCAGGCACTATAGAAGTATTTAAAAAAGAGCTTCCAGATTTGTACCACCCAACTGTTGACCAGACCAGCTTAGAACTCAGAAGTAGATGGGGAGGGGTTAGGGTATAATGTAATAGGTGAAGGTAAAGGTTTCCCTTGCTCGAAAGCCAGTCGAATCCGACTCTAGGGGTGCAGGACAAATCTCCATTTCCAAGGCGAAGAGCCTTCACTGTCCGAAGACGTTTCCGTGGTCATGTGGCCGGCATGACTAAACACCAAGGCGCACGGAACACTGTTACCTTCTTGTCAAAGCGGTACCTATTTATCTACGTGCAGTTTCTTGCTTTCGAACTGCTCGGTTGGCAGGAGCTGGGGCCAGAGATGGGAGCTCACTCCGTCACGCGGCACCCGGGTCTCGAACTGCCGAACTACCGGCCTTCCAGTCTTAACCACTTGAGCCACTGCAGCCCCTTTATAATATAAGCCTCCCTTTTTCTGGGAGTGGGGGAGGGGGGAGGCTGGGTAGAGCAAGTCCCAAAATCTTCCAACCTGGTTTATGGCCCAAATAAAAAGGTTCTTTTGTTTTCGTCCCTTAGCGGTTAATGCGGAGACGACACCCTGCCCAGAAGTGACATGAGTGTTTCTTTTGTTATCTCCTTATCTTTGAGCCGCAAAGGCTGGGATGGGCAGAATGAGTTCGGAGAGGGAGAGAGGGTGGGGTGGGGAGTTGGGAAATGTCAAGAAGGGAACAGGCAAGTCCTGGGGTGGCAGTGGGGGGGGAAGCTCAGAGTGGGTTTCCTTGAAATACTTGCAGATACATTTGGACATCAGCAGAACAAAGTCTGAGTCCCGTGGCGCCTTTGAGTCCCAAAGATGTGCCGGCTGCTGCTTGGATTGAAAATATTCACCTCTTGCTTTTTGATGGATCCGTAAGACGAGCATAACAAACATGCAGAAAGGCAAATGTGTTGTTGTTCAGTCGCACAGTCGGAACAGAAAGAGGGAGGCACAACAGCAAGATCTAGTGGCACTCCTAGAGCTCTCTTCAGGGTGCCTTAAGAACATAAGAAGAGCCCTGCTGGATCAGACCAGTGAGGGTCCATCTAGTCCAGCATCCTGTCTCACACAGGAGCCAGCCGGTTCCTCTGGAGGGCCAACAACAGCGCAGAGAGGCCGAGGCCTTCCCCTGATAAGAACATCAGAATAGCCCTGCAGGATCAGACCAGTGGTCCCTCCAGTCCAGCATCCTGTCTCACAGAAGGGCCAGCCAGTTCCTCTGGAAGGCCAACAACAGCGCATAAAGGCCGAGGCCTTCCCCTGATAAGAACATAAGAAGAGCCCTGCTGGATCAAAACAGTGGTCCCTCTAGCCCAGCATCCTGTCTCACACAGTGGCCAGCCTCCTGGCTCTGGGATTCGTAGGGTTAGTGCCTCTGAATGTGGAGGTTCCCCTCAGCCACCATTAATAGTAGCCATTACTGGCATCTAAATTGGGGCAGGGAGCAACTAGTGACCCAGCACTGGGCAAGGCCTCTGGAGGAGGTCATCCCCATCACACATCAGGAGGGAGGGGTCCCTTTACAGGGCAGGAGGAGGAGAACATTCAGGGACCTGATCAGCAGAAAGTAGTAAAGGGGTTTCCCTTTCCTGAAAGCCAGTCGAATCTGACTCTAGGGATGCGGTGCTCATCTCCGTTTCCAAGCCGAAGAGCCAGCGCTGTCTGAAGACTTCTCCGTGGTCACATGACCGGCATGACTAAACGCAGAGGCGCACAGAACGCACAGAACGCTGTGACCTTCCCATCGAAGCGGTACCTATTTATCTCCTTGCAATTTCTTGCTTTCGAACGGCTAGGTTGTCAGGAGCTGGAACCAGAGACGGGAGCTCACTCCGTCTTGTGGCACTCGGGTCTCAAACTGCTGAACTACCGACCTTCCGGTCTGCAGTTCAGCGTCTTAACCCCTTGAGCCACTGCAGCAGAAAGTAGTACTGCGTAAATACTCCTGTTTTACTCCAGTTTTTAGTTTTTTGCAAAAAGAGAACCAAAATGTTTGAATTATGAGAAATCTTCAGGGTAGCATAATGAAAGAAAAATCTATATGGCTGACCAATTTAACAAGGGAAGGAAAAGATCTGCAAATTTCGCTGTAGCAACTGAGTCCTGTCAGAGAAAGAATCCAGGATTGAAAACGGAGACTCTTAAAATCTCTTGCACAATTGTTTGCATCGCGTCCTTTTATTCGGGATGGTTTTACTGCCTCGTAATCCGGAGGTTCCTGAGGCAAGGAGCCAGAAAAATCAGGCAGCTGAGTACAAATTAATTGGTCTCTTAAAAGAAAGGAACAAAAAAGGAGGCCGGTAGCAATTTTTAAAAAATAATAATTGGCAGAAGTTACTTTTAAAAAATGAGATAACATCAGTTTAATTAGACAGCGACTCATAACCAGCTCGCTGTGGTAAAACTGACAGTTTGGGACAAAAAGAGGGGGTGGTGGAACTGAACCTAGAAAGCTGGGATCCAGAACCTGAAAAGGTTAGTCAAATAGAAAAGGCCAATAATAAAAGCTTAATATATATAGTATATAAAAAGATACATGTATTTATTAACAAAGAATTTATAAATATGTAGGGGCTCAATCACACCTCATGTAAAAATGCCAGAATCTAACACACAAGGGCTAATGGACTTGACCTGACACGTTTCGGCCTGCATAGGCCTTCTTCAGAGGTCAAACACAGTGAGGAACATATTGGCTTATATAATAGTACAGTGCAATCATACAGATATAAAATATACAAGAAGGACCAGAAGAAAATTGTTCCAAAATGAAACCACTAAGCACAGAATGAAAGTACAAATGAGGCCTCCAAAGATGCAGTCACATGCCAAGTGGTGTTTCAGTGGTAATAATTTCTGGTCCAGAAAGTGCCTTCCAGTGATGGTTTATAAACAATCATAGGAAGGCACTTTCTGGATTAGACTCGGAAGAAGGCCTATGCAG